ACACTAACATTAAATGATGTAACAGTGCTGCTTTCGTTAACCAAAGGTACTGACAGATACAAAAACAGGAAACTGTCTAACTTTCCCAGTGTTCTAATCACATTGATTAAATCGTATCTGTAAAGACTACTGGTGTACATCATAACCAATGCAGTGGATTAAAAAGTCTCCCTTAAATTACTACAGTCATATTCTAAAATTAAGTAGCATTCTTAATTTTGCTAGGTCTTATATACTAACCACTGTAAACCTCTGGTCCATTTCTTCTCAGCCCCTTTCACTCTACCGATCAGTTTAAATCCTCTTATCCTGACATTTGTGGCCTTGTAGAACCTCATCCTCCTCTACAAGGTCCTTATTAGTTAGGCTGTTCCAACTCAAGACTTCCCAGCAGGCCATGCTTTCCTCCTGCTGTAGGTGCCCTAAGTGAGGACATTTAGGCCATCTTCAGTGGGTGGGCTATAATCTGAAATTCTAGTTGAAACTTAAGATACATGTATGTACAGAAAAAAAAAAGCAAGCAATAACTATAGGCATCTAAAAAGCCATGAAAGACATAATTATCATCTTTAATGACAGTAAACAACTGGAAGCAAATCTAATCTCCCCAGCCAAATAAAGTAGAAATATTTATTTCCCACAATGTGTTCATTTCCTTAAGTACTTTCGAGTTCATTAATCGTTGCAGTTTCCCGCAGCACACTTCCCCCCAGGCAGTCCTCAGACGCCAATTTCCGGCAGAGAGCTACAGAAGCAGGGCTGAGCAGCACAGACGGACCGTCTGAGGGCAGTGCTGGGACTCGGGACGAGAGCACGCTCCAGCCACGTGACAGCTGCCTTCCGGCTCTGCTCTGAAGCGGAAGTGACTGCAGTGGGATTCAGGATCCACATTCTAAGGATGCTGAGAACTCAAAGAACCAAGATAGGAAAGAGAACTGGATAGAACAGAAACTCATCCAGAGAGGGAATACCACGTATCATGTGGGCATCGTTACAACTACTACTGTGACAGTGATGAATTACACAGCCTCTGGTCACATATAAACTTGCTGCCTAGGATTCCAGTGAACTGCTGGTACATAAAATCTGCTGTGGGGTCACATCACTGAAGTCTATTCAAATTCCATTTGCTTTGTACTTGACAGAAAAAAAAGTTTACTCAACATTTTATATGCTGTAAGCTTATTTCAGATTTATATATTGTCCTCAAAAGCTCATTCTTATGATGGTATACTTACTAATTAGTTATTAGCTGAAAAGACAATCTGCAAATTAATATAGTCATTGAAATAAAGACTCCTCAACTTCTCTAATCAATTAAGTGGACCCATAATGGGATGAGAAAATATTAGGAACTGAATGACAATTAAAAATACAGTATTTTAAAACTTGTGCATCCAACAAGAGATACCTGAAGGGAATATTAGAGCCCTGAAAACATACATTTTTTTTTTTTGGTCAAATACTCAATTCAAGAAATTGGGGAATTTCTTGAAACAGAATAATTCCAAGGGAAAAAGAAAATAATAAAATTTACAAAACAGAAAAGAAACAAACAAAACCAAGCTGTTTCTTTGAAAGAAAAGATTTAAATAGTTAACTCTATATCAAAAATAATCAAGAAAATGCAAATAACACAAATTAGAAAGAAATCAAAAATACAAGTACACTATGAACAACTTCATAGGTCTGTCAAGTTACATGAAATGGGCAGTTTACACTAAAAATATGAATTACTACAACTGATCAAACCAGAAGTAGACTATTAGAAAATCAAATCAATGATTTAATAAAACAAAAAAACCCCTCCCAACTCCACTTTTCCCACAAAAAGTTCACCAGCCCAAGACAGTTTTAAAGGCAAGTTCTACCAGATCTCCAAAGAACGGTTAAAACCCTAACTTATCAGAACATTTTTTAGAGAATATGAAAGGCAAGCAGCTCTAAAATCTAGTACATAATCCAGATAACAAAATCTAATGAAGACAATTTGATAAAAGAAAGTTAAAAATAATATATGCAAAAACCACAGGTTAAAAATACAAAATCAATGCCAAATGATCACAAGTATCTATGTTAAGAATTCAATGATAGCTTCACATTAGAAAACATTAATATAAATTACATTAACAGATTAAAAAAAATCATCCTCTCAGTTGATGCAGAAAATTCATTAGAAAAGACTGACTACCTAAGTCATGTCTTTTACCATCTAGTCACAAAACTTTCTAGTTTAATCTTAGAAACTAAGAAAAGAATATCCTGAATCTGAAAAAGAATGTCTTTTTTTTTTTAATCCTACAGCAATCCTAGAAAACTACACTTACAAAAAGATGCTCAGCCTCTTGAGTAAATTGTAGGATTATTTCCACGTTTTCAATTATTTGCCAAGCTCTTCCTGTGATGGGCTCAGGCTTACCCACCTATTAACCACAGGACTTGCTTGGCCAATGAGATGTAAGTAGCATATCTTATATCTATATATAAAGATATACTATTTCCAGGCAGAAGATTCAAGGACCACAGTGTGGTTCCACTGTGTTTTCTTTCCATTTATCATAGAGGATACACATTTAGTCTTGATTCAAAAATCAAGAAGACATGGAGCAGAGCCTACACCCAACCCATCAAGGGCATGTAACATGAGCAAGGAATAAACCATTGTCATTATGCATCCAGAAGACCTGGAGGCTGTTATCATAGTATAACCTAGCAAAAGTTGACAATAATCAAGTAAGTGCTAACTAAAATTTTGGGATATTTCATACCATTATGATAGGTTTAAATTAATCTAATAACAAAAAGTGATGATGACAATGTAGAAAAATCAAACGGCAGTTGCTGGTTGAAATTTAAAATGGCACAACCACTTTGCCAAATCTAGGAAAACAGAAGAAGTAAAACTACATCTTATCAATTCTACTCTGAGGTGTTCTACCCTGAATAAACTCTTACACAAATAAACAAGGAAACATATTTAATAATATTCACTGAAGCACTGATTGCTGAACTATATAACAGAAGCGATAGTGCCCCAGCAGGGGGTTGGATAAATTTGGTTAGTCATTCAAAAGAAGACTATATAGCAGCTGAAATGAATAAAGTAGATTTGCACATGATATAAAAACAAATGCATAGTAACAAAGAGATGGGAATGAGACACTTTAGCAACATCTTTAATGTTTTATTTATTTTTAAAATATCTAAAACACATGGCTAAATGATGAATCTGGTTAAAATTTTTATGGTGAATATACAACTCTGTTAATAGTTACTATATTTTTGTATTTTTAAACATATCATGACTTTTTAAAAAGACAGAGAACAAAAGTAGATTTAAACCAATAAAGCACACTGGTCAATCACAAGGTTTGGTGATATAAAGCGCTTCAGAGATGACAGGGGCCTTCTAGATTATCTAAGTAATATTATATTCTAAAGATGAAGTCAATTTCTAGGCCTCAGTTTGACATACAGAGATGGAGTAAATGATTCAAGGTCACAAAACAAGTTATCAACAAGTTCATTCTTAAAATCTAAACTTCCTAACTTCTAGGATAGGCAGGAAGGACGAGGGACATGTGACCAAACAGTGCAACTGAGTCAAGTTCAGAACACCGGTCTTTTGTTTCTCATTGTCCCCACCTCTACTCCTAAGACACACCGTATTATTCTGGGCGAGCTCGAAGGATTTTTAATCATCTGCTGCCACTCCTTTTCTCAAAACAACTAAAATATGAGAACGACTGTAACTGAATGCATAAAATAAGTTCTAACCAACTAATACAAAGGTAAGTAAGGACCATGAAGCACTGATAAAGAGTTCAGTGGTCAGGTTCAAGATCTTCACAGTCAAAGGTCTGGACGCGTGATCCAACCACTAACTAGCTATGAAATTTGGGGCAAGTTACTTAAGCTCTTTAAAGCCTTGTATTTCCTCACTATAAGATGGGGACTATCCATAATAATGCCTACCTCATATACAATCTTATCAGTATTACATGAGACAACCCATTCAAAGCTCTTGACATAAGTCTTCAGTAAAAACTAGCTATTAGTATACGTCATGTATGGCTTCCCTGATAGCTCAGCTGGTAAAGAAGCAGCCTGCAACCCCAATTCGATTCCTGGGTTGGGAAGATCCCCTGGAGAAGAGAATGGCTATCCACTCCAGTATTCTTGGGTTTCCCTGGTGGCTAAGATGCTAAAGAATTTGCCTACAATGCAGGAGACCTGGATTCGATCCCTGGGTTGGGAAGATCCCTGGAGGAAGACAAGGCAACCAACTCCAATAACTCTTGCCTGGAGAATCCCCATGGACAGATGAGCCTGGCAGGCTACAGTTAATGGGGTCACAAAGAGTTGGACACGACAGAGCGACTAAGCACAACACAGCAAACTATACATCATGTAAATAAAGTACCTGAGCTCTGAAAAGGAACAAACTTTGGATTATTATAAAATTATAAGGCATTAATGCTTTTAAAAAAACTACATTGACTTTGGTCAGCATTGGTGCTAATCAACGATAAATTTTACAAATCAAAAGTGTCTTTTAATTAAATGAGCTAGATTTTAAATCATTACCTGTCTCAGGATGAAAACACTTGAGGTTAAACTGCTGAAATTTCATTACTCTGAAATTTCAACCTACTGCAACGTTTCTCCTTAAGTGAAACAGTTAGGGCCACAGGTCATTTCAAGCTATTTAATGCCCTTTCAGAATGAACACCAGCCAATGCACATGATCGATACAGCCTGACGGAACATCGGTCCTGCTAATTATAAAGGGTCAGGAACTACTGTTTCTAATAGAAATAATGACCCTCTCCCGTGTTTTCTTAGCTTGTTTTTTTTTTTTCTTTTTAATGTTAAATTTTGACAAACTAGTTCACAGGAACACAGAAATCTGTTCTCAGTGCCAGGCCACAGATGAAGGCGGAGGATACTTCCGTCATCGCACACACGGAGACAGCGCCCCACCCCGCGCCCCGCCTCACCTCCAGGTCGCAGCAGTACTGGGTGCCGTCCAGGAGGGTCACTTTACACTGGGCAGTTCTGCTCTTCTTGGGGGCTTTCAGAGAGGCCTTCTCTGCCTTCAGCTCATTGGTCTGCACCTCCTTTGTCTCCCTTTTTGCTGCTTCATCCATAACTTCTGCTTCCTGTGTTTCCTTCACCTTCTCTCCTTCTCTCTCCTTCCTTCCTTCTTCAACAGGCTGCTGAGGGGGAAAAAAAAAAATTAAGTTCTTAGTAAATGTGACCAACTTGCAGACGATGACACACACTAAAAAGAAAGATCTTTAGGAAGAACTGTGATTACTGTAAACACTGTGAGCCTACGATTTTAAAAGATTTTGAAACTTTGTCAGAAAGGGTATCTCACCACACCTTTCCCCCAATCCATTGTTAATTTTCCTATTCTGCCACTTTGGCAACATCAGCATTAAATGAGTAAAAGAAACTATGTCCCAGCAATGACATTTAAATATCATGTCAAGTAATAAAACTTCTAATCACACAACCATGGCAAAACTTAGGCTTCAACAGGCAACCAAAATGCACACACATACAAAGCTACTTCTTCCTACCCCCTTGAACACTTAAATAAATCAAAGATACAAAAGCGTGCATTATTTAAGAAGCAAGGTGATCCTTGCCTGAGAGTACTTGTTTAGCCCTAAAATGAATAGATATGACTTTTTTATGATCTGCATATATGGGGGATTTTTTTTTCTTTATTTTGAAAGCTTTAAAAGGAATAACAAGAGAATGTTGTGGTAGACCCTCCAAGATCCATATTCCAGATACAGTAAGCCAAAGCAGTATCTGAATACAAGAAATCTGGAAATGGTTCAAAACAAATCCTTTCTGTCAACCTGGTTATGCCATCAAAGCCTTCACTTCCAGACAATCACTTCTCAAAATACTTGTGTCTCCTGACTGCTCACCAGAGGTTTCTCTTCCTTGACGTCAAGCTTAATCTCCTGTTGTTTTCTCTGAGCTGTTTCTTCAGCATCACCCTTGGCCTGCCTTTCTTCTTCAGGAAGAGATTCCTCCTTGTCTAAAACCTGTTCTTCCACAACAGGTTCGGTAGGCTCTTTTTTATCTCCTCCATCTTTGGCCACTACTAAGTTATAGGACTTTTGTTTCTTAAGCCAAGGCGGTATGAATCGAGAAATCCCCCGGCTCTCAGATGGATCTTTCTCTTTTTTCTGGCGGCGTGGGCTACTTTGGCTTTCAGTTGGAGGAGACGATTGGGAACCTTTTTCCTCCTCTGGATCAGTCGTCTGATTCTGCTGATTTTCCGCTACTTCTTTCGGTTTCTCCTTGGTTGCATCTGCTCCTAACTGGTCAGATTCCTTCTTCACTTCGGATGCGGAGCCCACTTCAGTAGTCATGGTCACAGCTTATTCTATAAACAAAACAAAACCACCAACAGTTATTTTACAAACTCTCCCCATTTTAGTTTGGTGGCAAGGGGCAGGGTAAGGAAGGGTGGGGACGGGAATGGCAGAAAGATGACAGGGAGAAAACACATTTTAAAAAGAAAGTTCAGAAGCATAAGAGAAAATGGAGACTGCTATCCTTAATGTTTAGAAATCTCTATCAGAATCGAAGAACCGAAACTAGCATCACAATAGAATTAACTGTGGTTAATTCTACAGTACAGAGAAAACTTCAAATTGTCAAGAGTTCTAGAAAAAGTAATTATTGTTCAATTTCATCTAACTATGAAAAAATAATTCACTCCCCAAATTTTTAGGGAAAATCACTTTTCTCTATACTTAAGTTTTCCTCATTCACAATATTAAAGCTACTGATATTAAGCTACAATGTTAAGCTCCTAATAATGCTAGAAAATCCTGAGACATATTTCACTGCAATTTCAGAAATTAAAACCAATATCTAAAAAAATTTTAGGTATAACAAAAGTGAATTTTAAGTACTGGGTACTAATTGTGAGAAAATTAAAATGAACACAAATATCTTTTTTGTTCCAATATTAAACCCCATAATTCACCATCACTATTCCAAGGTAAGTTAGTCTTTAAGAAAGCACTAAAACTACAATCAAAACTCCCAAACTCCACACCACCCAACCTCATACACAATTTTCTTAGTATATGTGATGATAGAAAAATATCTAGGGGTCCCAATCTAAACCAAATGAAGACATCATAGGAGTGAAGGAAATGCATCTAATATTCAATCCTATCACAACTAATGAAAACAAAACTGAAACTAAATCTAAAAGCATTTGGTTGTCTAAAATTTACACAAAGAAAGAGGGACTTTAAAGTATCATAGTACCACTGACATTAAAAAAACAGGCAGGCATGTGAAAAGATACTCAACATCATTAATCAAAGAAACACAAACTAAAACCGCAATGAGACATCACCTCACACCTGTCAGAATGGCTATCCTCAAAAAGAACACAAATAACGCATGTTGACACGGATGCTGAGAAAAAGGAATTCTCAAACACTGATGCTAGGAATGGAAATTGGTGCAACCACTGTGGAACAGTACAGAGGTTTCTCAAAACTCTGAAAGAACTACTGTGTGATTCAGCAATTTCACTTCTGGGTTAATATCAGAAACAAAGAAACAAACACACTAATTTGAAAAGCTATACACACCCCAACGTTCATAGCAGCATTGTTTACAATTACCAAGTCATGGAAGCAACCTCCATACCCCTCAATAGAAGAGTGGAAAAGATGCGGTGTATATAGACAATGAAATACTCAGTCACAAAAAAGAATGAAGTTTTTCCATTTGCATCTGGAGGGTACTAAGCTAAATGAAATAAGTCAGACAGAGAAAGATAAATAATGTATGATATCACTTACATGCAGAATCTAAAAAATAGATTAGTGAATATAACAAAACAGAAACAGATTCACAGATACAGAAAACGAATTAGTGGTTGGTTACCAGTGGTGAGTGTGAAGGGAGGATGGGCAGAATAGGGGTAAGGGATTAAGAAGTACAAACTACAGAGTACAAAATAAATAAGCCACAAGGATATATTATACAACACAGGGAATATAGCCAGTATGTTATAATAACTGTTAATGGAGTATAAACTTTAAAAATAGTGAATCACTATGTTGTACATCTATAACTTACATAACACTGTACATCAACTATACTTCAATAAAAACATTTTTTAAATAAAAAAAATTAGGCAGGGACAGAAGACACAGCACACTCTCCTTGCTTGCCAATGATAAAAGAATTCAAAGACCTAGTACCCTGACCAATGGAAAATTTCACAGCTATCTTCAAAAGTGGTACAAACTTGAAAAGTTCAAAAAACAAAGTACATTGGATTTTCATTTTTTTAAGATGTATTGAAGTATAATTCACATACCATAAAATCCACCCTTTTAAACTATACAGTTAATGATTCTAAGTATATTCAAAATGTTGTACAACCATCACCACTCTCTAATCCTAGAACATTTTCATCATCCCAAAAAGAATCCCTGTGTCATTAACAGTTACTCTCCAACCGCCCCTTCCTGCAGCCCATTGAGATCACAAAACTACTTTCACTTTCTATAGATTTGCCTATTTGCCATTTCAAATAAACAGAATCATACAATATGTTGCATTTTCACTTAGCATAATGTTTTTAAGGTTCATCCATGTTGTAGGACATATCAGTACTACACTTGTTTTTTTAATTATTCACTTCTTCTGCAAATCATATATCTGAGGAGTCCAATATCCAAAATATACAAAGAACTATTTTTTATACAAAATATACAAATAGGAAAAGGAGTACGTCAAGGCTGTATATTGTCACCCTGCTTATTTAAATTATATGCAGAGTACATCATGAGAAACGCTGGGCTGGAGGAAGCACAAGCTGGAATCAAGATTGCTGGAGGAAATATCAATAACCTCAGATATGCAGATGACACCACCCTTATGGCAGAAAGTGAAGAGGAACTAAAGAGCCTCGTGATGAAAGTGAAAGAGGAGAGTGAAAAAGTTGGCTTGAAGCTCAACATTCAGAAAACTAAGATCATGGCATCCAGTCCAATCACTTCATGGCAAATAGATGGGGAAACAGTGGAAACAGTGGCTGACTTTATTTTTCTGGGCTCCAAAATCACTGTAGATGGTGATTGCAGCCATGAAATTAAAAGATGCTTACTCCTTGGAAAGAAAGTTATGACCAACCTAGACAGCATATTAAAAAGCAGAGACATTACTTTGCCAACAAAGGTCCGTCTAGTCAAGGCTATGGTTTTTCCAGTGGTCATGCATGGATTTGAGAGTTGGACTGTGAAGAAAGCTGAGCACTGAATTGATGCTGTTGAACTGTGGTGTGGGAGAAGAGTCTTGAGAGTCCCTTGGACTACAAGGAAATCCAACCAGTCCATCCTAAAGGAAATCAGTCCTGGGTGTTCACTGGAAGGACTGATGCTGAAGCTGAAACTCCAATACTTATGGCCACCTGATGAGAAGAGCTGACTCATTTGTAAAGACCCTGATGCTGGGAGGGATTGGGGGCAAGAGGAGAAGGGGACGACAGAGGATGAGATGGTTGGATGGCATCACCAACTCAATGCACATGGGTTTGGGTGGACTCCGGGAGTTGGTGATGGACAGGGAGGCTTGGCGTGCTACGGTTCATGGGGTCACAAAGAGTCGGACACGACTGAGCGACTGAACTGAACAAAGAAGTCTTACAACTCAATAGTAAAGAACAAAAAAGTATTATTTTTTTAATGGGCAAAGGCTTTGAGTAGAATTCCTCCAAAGAAAAAAATGACCAATAAGTACTTGAAATGATTCCGAACATTATTAGTCATTAGGGAAGTGCAAGTCAAAACCACTATGAAATACCACTTCACATCCACTAGTATGGCTATAACCAAAGACAATAACACATACTGGTGAGGTTGCTGGAAAATTGGAACCCTCAACATTGCTGGAAACAATGTAAAATGGTACAGCCACTTGGAAATCAGTTTGGCAACTCCTCAAAAAAGTGAACATGAAGCTACTGTATGACTCAGCAATCCCACTCCTGGGTGCACACCCAAAAGAAAAGAAAATATATGTTTACCCCAAAACTTGTAAATGAACTTTTCTAACAGCACAATTCACAACAGTCAAAAAATGGAAACGATCCAAATGCCCACCAACTAACGGATGGATAAACAGAACGTGGTCCATCTACACAAAAGAATATTAAGCAGTTCTGAAAAGGAATGAAGTACTGATATATGCTCCCATATGAACCTTGAAAACATTATGCTAAGTGTAAGCAGCCAGATACAAAAAGCCATTTGTATAAAATTTCCAGAACAGACAAATACTCAGAGATGAGGAGTAAACTAGTGTTGCCAAGGGCTAAAAGGAATGGAGAATGGGGAGAAAGTGTAACAGGTACAGGGTTTCTTTCTGGGGTAATGAAAATATTTTGGAATTCGACGTGATAGTTGAACAACCTTGTGAATATACTCAAAATCACTGAATTGTGAACTTTAAAGGGGTGATATCTCAATTAAGAAATAACTTTTAAATTGTTATATACTTCTAATAGGCAGGCATAAAAACATTCACTTAGTCAGCCTATATTTCATGGGCATAGGGTTTCCCTGGTGGCTCAATGGTAAAGAATCCGTCTGCTATGCAGGAGACCGCCTACAATGCAGGAGATGCAGGTTCAGTCCCTGGCAGGGGAAGATGTCCTGGAGAAGGAAATGGCAACCAACTCTAGTATTCTTGCCTGGAAAACCCCATGGGCAGAGGAGCCTGGCGGCCTACAGCCCACTGTGTTGCAAGACTCAGACACGATTTAGCAACTAAGCCACCAACCACCATCGCAATGTGCCAAGTACGAAGCAGGTGAATCAAGACTACCTTTCAAGGACAGTGGATTACAGATAAATCAAAAGCACGCGGCTCAAAGAGCACAGGATGAAGACTTAACCAGGATTAGAACGAGAGAGTTATCAGACAAGTCTTTCTACAAAAGTCAACATTTGAGTTGCTTTAAAATAATGGGTCAAAATGGGAAGCATGTGCCAGACACAGGCAAGTGTGGAGAAACATGAGAACACTCCTTCCATAGGAAACTCAAAAGTGCTGAACAATAACACACTGGACAAGTGAAGTGGGGGCTTGTGAGTGGAAGGAGGAAGGTGAATTGGTGATGATGAAGTAGGAGAAACAGGCTGAAGCCAGAACACAAAAGGTTCTGCATGTCATGCTAGGAAATGTCTGGAGGTTGATTTAAAAGCAATGAGAAGTCATATAAGAACTTCAAGTAGAAGAGTAATCAAATTCATATTTGGGATAGCCCAACCTTGTTATAAGTAGAGGATGAGAGAAAAGAATGAAATAGAAAGGTATCTAGGAGGCTGATGCC